CTTCCTTGACCCGTGCCTGAAGCCTCTCAATCTCAGCATGGGCATCTCTCAGTTGTTCATCTTTCGATGGAGGTAGGTAGTCATGTTCGGCTGATGGTGCAGGAACTGATCCACTGGAACCATTGTCAGTCAGGTCCCCTGCATCACTGGAACAACCTGGGGCTGGATTCACACTAAAATATAAATGAAAAACATGCCATCGCCATTTCATTGTGGATTGCATATAGTTGTAATGCTGTTTGTTTAATACATTTCATTGTCCATAATTATCAATGTTGTATGAGTAAATAGCTTTTATTATTGTTGGGCACATAAGAACAACACAGGTTAAAAGAAACAATATAATTTTTACTCATTTAAACGCCTCCTTGGACCACGACGCTTAGTGGTAGTTTTAGTCCAGTCAAAGATGGAAGGTGCAGCTCCAGCCTTCAGCTTCCTAAGGCCAATGAGTGTCCGGGTGAAGTCTTCTGCTGGAAAGTGGGCTGAGCACACTCGTGTACTATCAGACAACTAAAATTGATGAAGGGAAACATACATTTTGCTTTAACGATAATGCTTTATTGTGATTACCTATGTGTGTGTATTACACACTTCTCAGGGTTTTGTTCTCTTTTTTTTATACATCGAATAATATATTGTAACCTTATTAGCAGCTGATAATTGGTAAAAGTATAAACAACATGTAAATTTATATACATCAGATTATGTACACGAACGCTAGCGACAAGTAAACATTCCGATCATTTTCCACACAGAAAACAGCGACAACAAACCAAGATAACCACAGTTTTAAAGCAAAAGTCCTTTGCATTTACTTACTCCAAGTCAACCGATTACATAGTGCATGTAAGGTACGGAAAACATGGAAGTACAACATCGAATCAAGGTGCGCCCCCCACCCCCTACACGAACGCTAGCTACAAGTAAACAATCCGAGCGTTCACATACCTGGAAATCTTTGCCGATATCACGCCTTATCTTCACAATCCAAGCTTTGCGTTGCGTACTATCTTTTGGAAACCGATGAAAACTCAGTTTTTTCTCTGGATCGTAACGAGAATCGTTTGTGCAACTCGGCACACAACAGTGGAATTTCCCCATTGTGTTCGGCCGAGGTCTGGTATGCGTCTAATACGCTTGCCCACCCGGCCTCGTTTTCGATCCAAGATGGCGGCGGCGTGAATAGGGAGTATTCGCCTCTATCTTCTGCCTGTCCGAGATTACCTTGGTGAGTGCTACATTACCTTAAATGAAAGCCAAAGTTTCAACAGTAGACCTCATACCTCCATGAAATATTTTAAGCCTTTGTAGATTTAATGTTCTATCTTGTCTCATTAATCATACTGATAAGGTTGTAACATTGTTCAAAATAGAATTTTTTTTCGGCTATTTATATTCTGACATTCTGCTAATGTTACAGAACAAAAAATCAGGCTATGGTGCAGAACAAAAATCAGGCTAGATTTGATGCGTGCGCGAATGTCATCCATATAATTAAATCAACATGACTTTATCATGATATTCCCACATTTCAAAGCCCCACTCAAAGAGTGGAGGACCCTATCTTGGCCAACAGAGCAGGTCACATGACATGTGTGATGTAATGTATATATAGCAGTTTTACAATTCCACAATTCATAGCGCAGGCCTAACACTAGAACATGGGACCAGATGGATTAAACTGAACTGATGTTTCTACTACTGGAAAATCTTTTTTGTAGAATTAACCATTTTCTGTAAACAACAGTACTGGCTTTTTTTGGATATATTCAATGGTATTATAGGGGAGCGTAAGTGACCCAGAGGTGAAAGCAGTTGGCGCTGTCAGCATGCTACAGGGGGACCCTGAAGTTAAGGTGAACGCCATTGGGGCGGAAGAAGCGGAACAGAAGAGCCCCATGGATGCGCTAATAGCGCATTATTCCAGTTGGCACCGTCTTAAGAAAGCAGTGGCCTGGATCATCAAAGTGAAGCAAGCCCTCAGGCAGAGGAAAGTGGCCACTGAAAACGGGATGACAATGCGCGATCTCAATCAAGCTGAGAAGGCTATTTTCAAGCACGTGCAGAACAGATACTACAAACAAGAGATAGTGTCGTTAGAGAGGTCGAAGGATGCGGTAGTAGCATCTACCAGCAACGCCCACAAGCTAAACCCAATATTGGGAGACGACGGTCTGCTGAGAGTGGGCGGGAGACTTGACATGTCGTCTCTATCAGAAGAAGAAAGGCACCCCATAATACTCCCTAAGGAGTCAGCAGTAACGCTGCGGATCATACGGAGTATACACGAGGAAGTAGGCCACCTGGGGCGGAATTATGTCATTGCAAGGTCAAGAGAGAGATATTGGATACCCCAAGTTAACAAGTTGGTGCGCAAGATGATCAACAAGTGCACAACCTGTAGGCGGAACCATGGGAAGACCGGTGAGCAACAGATGGCAAAATAGTCTCCTTGTTGAAGGTGATAAATATTTCGATCAGACTCACTGCGCCCTACAGCTGGGTATTTTTTCTTTCAAGTCATGTCACCGATTTTCGAATAATGGTCACATTCGGTTCTTCGAATTCTAGTCATTGCTGTGAAATGTAATCATGATGACGTGACTTCCGTGTCCTATGCACTCTCGTGATACGAAATATTTTGCTCTTTCACAGAAGTACAACAACAAACTGCCGGGCACGCTTTTCCTGCAAATGGATAATTGCTGGTATGTTTTCGCCATTTGTTTTTGATATAATGTTTAAATGTTAAGTTTGCAAGTGTGCAATTTTGTAATTGAAATAAACTGTAGCATGTCCTCATACCTTCACACTTCAAAGTAAAAAACATCAAATTTTGTTATTTTTTTCGCAGGGCAGAAAAAGGAATCATTATCTCTACCATGGCCAACACCGCAGCGACAAGAGCCACCGCCGCTGAGGAGACTTTTCTAGCTGCGATGGCTCTTCTTGATCTCAGTGTGGCAGGTGAGAAGTGCACGCCGAAGAACACCAGCCCCAACTTCGTGTTTTCGCCGGCCGGGGTGCCAAACGGCCAGCCCCTGACGACGACCCCTATCTACATCTGCAGGGTGCGTTCGTTCGTGGGTTCGTTCGTTTGTTTGTTTGAGATGTGTAACGGCGCCCTGTAGTGTGGATGCAACAGATGGCTGATCTGCCAGAACACCGCGTCATTCCTGATGAGCCACCCTTCACGAGAGTGGGTGTGGATTACTTTGGTCCGATAGAAACCAAGCGTGGAAGAATCATCGTTAAACGGTATGGAGTGGTGTTCACATGCATGTCAACACGGGCAGTGCATATCGAGAAGGCGGACTCGCTGGACACAGACTCCTGCATCGATGCCCTTAGAAGATTTATAGCTTTGGTAGACTCACAATCTCTACCAGCTCCTCTGGAGTTTTGAGAGCGGGCGGCGCGACCCACCGGTCCCGGACGCAGACCCCAGGACGCATCCCATGGAGGCGTTCGTGTCATCTTTCTGCGCCCACCCGGGCTTCGATATTGTAGCCATGGTGCAGGGGCTGAATGCCCAGTGTAGGGATTTCCTGAGGATGGTAGAAGAGCTGAGGGGACAGGTGCGCGACCGCCTCGACTCAATACCAGAGCACTACGAACACCCGCGATTGTACTGCATCCCGCGGGGAATCAACCAGGGACAATGCGGTTGGGAGGAGCCCTTGCGGCAGCGTCCGGAACTGTGGACCTTTCCGGACCCCATTCCGAGATCTGAGAGGAGGTTCCCTTACTGAGCCGGCAACCATACAATCAGACTTGAATATGAACTGGAATGATGTAATAGAGAACAGATGGTTACCCTCCTACAGTCACTGTATATGAACACCACTTAGAATACAGTCGTGTGAAAAGTCCCTCCGTGTGAGATTGATCATTACAAGACACTACATGGACGTTGAAATATGTAGACTGGGATGTTATGTGGACACTAGGAAGGAAATTTTACTGCTAACGACCCTGCGTATATCAGGTAGGAAAACCATTTCTATTATATGTCCGGTAGGGGGACGATTCTGATTTATATTTCAAATGGTTATCCCAAATTTTATCCAAATTATTGTTTCACTGTTTCACTGTGTAACCTAGACGAACTTTGACGGGTATCCGGGGTCTTTAGGTGGGTGACCCTCAGGGAGTTGCGACCCTGCCCAGCCCAGGCTAGCTATTGTGTAAAATCCCACATAGGTAAGTGGTGTCATCACCATTGATAGGATTGTTTTTTTGTACAACTGAAATGTTTAACGTTCTACAACTGAGTCAATGTAGACAAACACTACTTCTTCTCGGTCTTGGTTCGTAACCCTGGCTTATTGTCGTTTGCGCCCTTGACGTTTCTCGAGGTCCGCAATAGCTATTTTGAGGGCTGTGAATAATATTCAATAGTGAATCTCACACCGGAGTTTTCATGATGTCGCCTTTGGCAGCACTGAATTGTTTGATGTATGGCTTTCACCAGTGGTCAGTCGATGCCCTCGATGCTGATCCGGTGTTCCCCGACACGCCCGACCGGCATGGATGTACACAGGCACCTACAAGTCGAACAGTATGCATTCGGCGTCGACCAGACAGGTCGGTACATGAAGTTCACTGGAATTAAATTGGTGTGGTGTAAGACATCGGTCTATAACGGGGCAGTCTTTTGTAAAATGGGTGAGAATTTATTTCGGTTTTCTAGTTTTCTTGGATGAATTTGTGTAAGGGAATTATGCCGTTTACGACAGGCAAACTATTTCTAACCTCTAATGATCATTATATTTATACTTATTATTATATTATTTGTACTATTTTATGTATAATACTTTTCAATTGTCAATATTAGTAATATGGCAGCATTCATAACTGCTCATAAAAAACATTGCTACTAGCCTGGGCTCATATTTGCTTTACTGCAAGGTACTATTAAACTATACTAGAAAAAAGATTCTTAGATGCTTTTCAATCTACTTTATATTTCTTTTATTATATTCCAACTGTATCCCTGCAGCTTTTTTTTTTTGGCATGCCCCGAAAATTTCAAATGTTGAGGATACTGTTATTCTATGTTCTATTATACAATATTCTAATATTTGTGAACTTCTACTAATTATTTAAAAATACAGTATGTTTGTAACATTAGGGCAATGACATGTAAGTGCAGTATACCTATAAATAGAACATATCAGGCAAGAGGAGTTATCATCAGAAAGCACACCAGTCAGAGGTATATTCAGAGTAAATGAAATTTGATGTCATTTCAAGATGGCAGTAATCAGAGATGCACAGCACCAGCTTTTTACCCACACGAATGTGCTCAACTTCTTATGAAAATACATATACCAAGAATGATTTAAGATTGTACTCCTTTAGATTTTGGAAATAAAAAAAACTGTCCCCGGAAGCACCGGGTTCCTGAAATGTGAGTGGCGTGTCTATTCTGAGTGGTGTCTCTGCACTCAGTGTCGCCACCAATGATGTTGTAATTCGAACTAGCATTACGACTTCTAGACAACGAAATGTGATTCGTGTCATATATAAACATGTAGTAGTGCGAAAGGAGTGACGATGTATATTCTTTGGTTTGGACTTGTGTCCATGCCCTCAGATTCTGATGTGAGATGCGTCGGCACGTAGCCTTCCCTCACACCATGTCGCGTGCACGATGTAACGGTGGTCTGTTCTATGACCACCCCTTGTTAGCACACTGTATTCCTTTCCCATTTGTTAAGCTGTATTGACAGCCGTTCGTGCCGGAATGAGACCGTTTGAAACCTGTAATTACTCATAGCCAAGGTTCGGTAGTCACTAACCCGGAATGTTCAAGTGCCATATGTGCACCTGCCTGAAGCGCCCAACAATTTGTTGTAACTCCATATATCTGCTTGGCACCCCTGAAGTTACATCAAGTATAAGAGATCTAGTCCGACCTGTATCGCCACCGATATCGTTCAATCTGTGGTTTACTGTTGTCAAGCCACAGTGGTCAGGGTAGGATTACATGTAACTGTAGTCGGAAATGTCCGACAATTCGGGCATCCCGGCTAATACAACTTTGCATAGAGCTTATGCCACTGAGACCGACTTAAGCTCGAGTCTGATCCACCCCTTTCATTGTTGTGGCAACAGCAAAAAAACAATTGTTAAAAATCGCTGCAACATCCAACTAATCTAAGCTGAACCAGCCCCCACTGAGCCAATGGCACAGTCCCCGAAGTCTGGGTTTCCAAGAGGCTGGACAGCAGAAGGAAATAGACCTGAACTATGTATCAACCATTGAGTTGGCCGACCGATCTACCGCAAGCCAATCCATTACCTCAGTAATGATCATTAACTGCTCAGTCAACGATGTTTACACAATTACAAACGACCAGTGTAGTTTAAATATTTGAGCGCAGGTCAGATATTAAAAAGCGCGCTTTGCTGCAGAAATATGCGGTTTCTAATGGTATTTCATGTCTTGCGTGGACACAGCTGTGTTCTATGTGGATGGTCCTCATCTCACAGCTGATCCACGGTGTTTGATGTTCATCTCAGTAGCTGTAGGGGAAACACGAATATAAGTATTAGTATCAAAATACTTTGACAAAATTCTCATTCTTGAAATTTGATACCGAACTGACAACACGGTACTAGTAGATATTGGTCAAGTAGGTTTTAGTAACCAGGAAAAGTCTAACGGAGGCCGAGTTGCTCGGTATAGCTCAACCATGTATTTCTTTTCGGTTCCAAAAATTTTTCGTATGTACGGATAGCATACGTAAAAAAAATTGTAAAATATAACCAATATACGAATAAAAAAATATATATACTTGTAATTGTATTAGGCTGTGTAATCAATTTGGAAAAATCGTCCGAGAAAATTGCCAAGTACGCAGTTCTCGTCCGCCAACACGTAAACAAAGTAATCCATCACAGATGTCAGCCGCGGTCAGTCTTCTACGAAATTCTTATGAAATTTTGTCATTAGCAGTAAAAATTGGCCTATTTATAATCATCATTGTTTGGACGTTTTCTACGATCACAAATTAGAGATTTTTTTCCTGGCCAAAGGTTGGTGCAAACTGTTTATAATTTGATGACGAGACACATTCCACAAACTACCGTGCAAAACACTGTGCGGCTCAACTAAACGGCAGAATCAATCGACGCAAAAAAAACTTGGCCACATCTGTTTACGAGTAACCGTAACATCGTTAGGATTCATTCTACGCAAGTTGACGATCACAGAAATGACAATTTAGAACACAAAACGACCTGGAAATACAGCACCTACCTCACACCACCGCCCTTCTTCTCAAACTGAACCTGGGTGCGGTCGTGCGACGAGAAATTCGGTCTATATCCATCCGCGACGGGACTGTTAAGCTGTTACGATATGTATAATGACACAAGCACAATTAAAGTTTTTATCTGCACAGATGTAGCAAAATCTGGATAGTTTAAAAGCTAACACTTTTAACTAGACGTTTCGTCCTTGTCACGTACTACTTTCTGGCGGCACTTGTGTACGTCCTGTCTGGGAAGGCTATTCGGTGGCGAGGCAGTGCGAGGCTCACTGGGGGTCTAAGAAAGAACTCATTGCATCTAAGGTGCCCAGGGATAGTGACCCTACTAGTACCTGTTGGGTCCTGATTTAAATTTGGAATGTATTTCAAAATTTGCATGGGAGTTAGATTAGTGTGTACATTTCAATGATGATAATGTCAGTTTCTTGTTTGTAGAAGTAGACCCCCGTCGTCCAAAACTAAAAAAAAAAAATCAATGCACATATATTAAAGGTGTCCAGAGCAAATATTGGTTGCTTTTTGGATCGCGATTTAACTTCTAACTAAGTTATACTTATTTATGTTTCAAAACGTTTCAAATATGCAGGGCAGTTAAATGAGCATACGGCGGTCCTCACGGTGAGGCATGCGATAGTTTACCGTGTACATCAGAAGTTTGAATTCACCACCTTCAGCTTCGCATCACCATAGGAACAGGACAAATGGATCAAGCAAGGCAGGATATCTTGGCTTGGCAGTCATCATGCATCAAGTTGAGAAGTATCAACCCGGGATGCAGTATGGTACTGAGTGTTGTCTTTCTCAAAGACTGGATGCCTTGTTCCGAATATACGTAGCTGCCCGTCTGTTGGACACCTTCGATAAGGTAATCTCCGAGTAATCACGGTTCGGGAAAGTTTTTCGACGGTCATGGCCACTGGATCACATTGAACATTCTCTGAGACGCACAAACTGCTGACTGTACTTAACCATCCCAATAACGTCTGTCGGACGTCAGAGAGAGCGTTTTCATCCTTGAAAAGACTGCTCCTAACATATTTCAGGTCATCAATGACAGAACAAAGATTGAATAACTGCATGATGTTGCATATTCACAATGACCTTGTTGACACCATGGACCTAACACCGATTGCTTCTACCGTTTTGTGTCTTTCAATGGTGATCGAAGCCGGTACTTTGGTTCTTTAACCCTCAACAGTACACCTTCCCGGACTGATTATTTTTTTAATCCGTACACCTGGGGTCCGCGCGGACCCCAGAACAGTTTTTTGCTAGTTTTTAGAAATTATCAACATGCTACCAGCTCAGTTGTTTTGCAAACTGATGTGGGAACCCCTGTGTCCACATTACATACAAAAATCAAACATTTTGAACTATTTACACTGCGCTGTGATTGGTTAAATCCTGCATGACGTCATTATCCCTTTAAATATGAATGCCAGCCAGGCTAATCACCATTGCGATCATTGGAAGCCTCCGCTACGCCAGCTTGGAGCGACGTGCTAGTGCCGGGCGTGCCCTCCCAGCCCTCCCACGTTTTGCAGCAATGGTCTTCGGTTTGGGTGTCGGTGTCTTCCTGGCGAGTCCAGCAGTTTGGAGGCTTCCACGACGACTCCTTCGGTTTGGAGGAGTGCAGAACGGTTTTTGCTGTCGTTTTGTGTCCACGGGTTTTTGTTTGTTTTCCCGAGTTGGTATCATTTTGTTTTTGGAAGGAATGCGTTGCACGTGGTATTGCATTTGTTACTAACTGGTCTTGGGAAGTGAGCTTGGCAGATGAATGTTGTTTTTCTTTGCTGCACTCTTGAACTTTTAAGTGGGTAGAAAAAGAGATATGTGGTGTCTGTTTGACGTGTACGTGTTTCTGTTTTTAAGATAACGTCGCAGATTCGTAGACTTCCCGCACCAGCTGTGTAGAATCCAGGACAATGGCGACAGCTGTAACTTCAGCAGGACCAGCGGACGCACCTCGAAAACACCTCCTACCCGGTACAGGCGGACTGGTTTTGGTCGCTGACGTTAGAGAAGCAGAGGCCTGTTCCTGAGTTCCTGAAAGAGAAGGTTTGGGTAGTGCGAAGTACAGGACGTGGTTTGCTTTTCTTTTCCGACAGTTTTTGTGTGGGTTGTCTGTAAGAATGTTGGCGGCAGTCTCGCACCTGGGTCATTTGCATTTGAATGCGTGGGTGTCTGTTTGAGCCAGAATTGACTATTAGTAGTTTGTTTTTTTCAGGGTTTCTTTTCTGAGTTTTCGAGGGTGGTTTTAGCCATTTTGTAAAATTAGCAGGGGAGGTTTCCCGAGCGGTGTTCCTTCGGCTTCGTGCCCATTAAGATCGTGTTGCGGGTTGCCCTCGCGGTGGAGGCGCGCTCGGGCGGGTAGTGTGGTAGTAGTGTGAAAGGTTTTCACGGGGTTAAGAAATTGCAGGTTAATAAGCAATGTCGTTTGCTCTTGCAGTTATAGCAGCACAACAACCTCGTTTCCCAAGCGGTCAAGATGTGGGAAGGCAGCAGCAGATCCCACAACCTCAGTACCCGGTACAGCAACGGGTACCTACCGCATTTTGCAGCCGTGATCTTCGGCCCGGGCTACGGTGACATCCCTAACGAGTCCAACAGTCTGGGGGTTTCTTGGCCACTCCATTGGGCTGCGGAACGGTTTTGGTGTCGTTTCCGTTGTTTGATTTTCAGTTTTCCAGAGTTTTGGTAACTCGTTTTGTCATTTTGGCGGGAGCGTGTTGCACGTGGTACATTTGCATTTGAAATAAATTGGTTCCGGGTGGTGACTTTGGCAGATAAGCGTTTCTTTGTTTGTCAGGAGGGTTGGAAACTCGAGTGCTAAAGCCTCCGGTACTTTGTACCCTTAGATCATGGAGTGGTGATGCCTTCATGGTGTTGGCACATTCGAGTGGGTAGTTAAAATATAGTTGGTATCTCTGCGTGACGTGTTTGTGTTTGTGTTTTAAAGGTGATGTCGCAGACTACAAGACTACCCGAGCCATCTTCAGCAAGGACCAACACCAGGGAGACCAGTCACTCCAGTAGGCCCTACTCCAGCAGGACGAACACCAGCGGGGTTTTATACAGCGCAACGTTTCTCGGGCGATGTCGTAGACTCCAAGACTACCCGCGTCAGCAGTGCAGCACCCAGGACAACGGCGACAGTTGACTCTTTAGCAAGGACCAACACCAGGGAAACCTCTCACTCCAGCAGGTCCTACTCCAGCAGGACCAACACCAGCAGTGTTTACGGCGCAACATTTCCAGGGTAGGTGGAAACACATCTTTGTTTTTGATGCGACGGGTCTAAATTGATCGTCGATGTTGTCATGTGAGTGTCTCTTATGCACATTCCACGTGCAGACACTCAGTGGCAAGCAGTCGGACGGATCCAAACATGGCGAGCGCTGATGTGTTGTTGCGTCGCGTGTAAATTGATCGTCGAT